ACCCCCACCCCACACCACACCACCCCCCACAACGGGGGAGGGGGAAGAAACAAATTAAAGCAGATATATAAGAGAGAGAGAGAGAGAGAGAGAGAGAGAGAGAGAAGACAATTTCATGTTACAGCAAGTTAGTAATGTCTATTCTCTCATGTGGTCCAAAACAGAAGATCCTTTTGAAAATCATTTCATATAGTTCATGTGAGTGAACTTAATGCAACTATCAAATAGCTTTAATTCAGAAGCCTTTTTGAACTATGCATAGCACAAAGTTACATACCTTAAGAAGAGTAAATGAAGAACACTCAAATTAGAAAAGAAGAATAACCGCGTATTGTTCAATTTCCCCTTTTCCTTTTCCGATTTCTTGGGGAAAGGAAGCTAATGGCTGATGATTGTGAATAGCTAAAACATGTTAAAATCACATAAGAATTCACGAGAAATTGATGCAAAAGAATTTCTTACCTTACTAATCCTTGGAACAACAGACCTCAGCATGTAAAGCCTATCGTTTAGCTTCTTCCTACGTCGACGTTCAGCCATCAAATTCTTGGCTGGTGGTCCCTTTTTCTTCCCTTTCTGATCTCCACCAGTTACAGTGCTAGTTGCATTTGAGCTATTTCCACCATTTTTAACACTATCCTCCACCTTATTACTACAATTTTCGACAAACTCATCTGAATCATAATTCAATGTAAAACCATCAATACTAACATCTTCAAGTTCATCCCCATTATCCCATTTCCTCTTCTTCCCACCCTCTTCCTTCTCACCAATTTCACCTCCAAAATCCCCCAAACTGCCACTATTATTAGCTAAATTCTTCCTAAGAGCAGCCCTTTTCTGGAAAAGAGTTGGTTGTGATCCAATTGAAGCAAAATTATCAAGTGGTTTTAACAACTTGGACCTATTGAGAAACATAGAATTCTCACTAACAGAACCATCACTAAACCCCAGTGGACTAAACCCAGTGGCACTATTTTGAGGCAATTGAAGCAAATGGGATGATGGGAATTGAGTACAAGAACTCAAATTGGGGTTGCCTATTTGGTTTAATGAGCTCAAATCTTGAAACCCACCAGCAAAAATCCCACCTTTATTCAAACCACCCAAATCTTGATTTTCAAGAAACCCATTTTCACAACCCAAATTAAAGCCACTGTCCAAAGGGTTGTTAGATAAAGCAGTTAACATAGGGGTTATGGCTTTTTGGGCTAAGAAAAAATGTACCTGAGATGGGTCAAGATTGTTGAAAACATGAGAAACTGAAGATGAAGATGAGGAATCTACTGGCTGTAGAAGCAAGTTACTATTGTTTTCAGCTTCAGTGAAATTTTGGGTAAAAGAAATGTCAGTATGGTTTTGGTTTTGCATGTTGTTGTGATTGTTACTGGACATGAACCAGTCTACATCTGCTGCACCATCTAGCATGGATTTGAATGTAGAAAGTGCACTTATTTCAATATCATCTTTGTTGGTTGTAGGATTGTTTTGAGCCCAAGAAGCTGTTTCTTCTTCTTCTTCTTTACCATTTATATTCCAAACCATACTGTTTACTCTTGAGAGCATTTTTTGGTTAGCTTTAGTGTACAGTCTTTAAAACAAAGAAAACTGAACAGAATTAGAAGAAAGTGGGGTGGGGGT